CTACGATCACCAAATGATGTAGAAAGGTATTGCACTGAACATAATATTCAGTATGATTCTACCTTGTTTGATTTCAAGGGAAGCAATACTTATAGTGGTGAAATCGACCCAACTGGCACTCCTTCAACATCATATACCCGAGATAGCTGACTAGAGGTTTCAATTCCAAACACTTATAACCAGGCAATGAAATCCACAGAAAAGCTTAAATGGATAGAGGCATGGAAGAGGAAATGGCCAATATGCGAAAGTATAAGGTATGGCATCTTGTTCCTAAAGACAAGACTCCACTAAGTTGCAGGTGGATTTTCAACATTAAACGTGACGAATTTGGAAACATTGTTCATTTTAAAGCTCGTTTAGTGGCTCAGGGTTATCGGCAAATTAAATACAATACCTATGATGAAACCTACTCTCCTGTAGTTAACTTTTCAGTAATAAGGCTCTTTTTCTTTTTAGTAATAATAATTTTAATTCTCTTTTAGTTGCACACCTTGGATGGGCAAATATACAATGCGACGTAAAAAAAAGTGCCTATCTCTACGCTCCTTTATCAGAGGAAATTTACATGTCCCAACCTCAGGGTTTTGTAGAGCGAGATAAAGAAACTTTTGTGTGTCGTTTTAGATAGAGCCTTGTATAGTCTGCATCAGAGTGGGCGATTATGGTACTACGAGCTGAATAGAACACTATGTAACCAAGGGTTTATCAAGTTTGAGTTGTGTAATTAAGTGTCTATCGTTTCAAAGATTTTGTCATTCTGTTGGTTTATGTTGATGATATTGTTGTGTTTGGAAAAAGTGAAGTTCAGGCTAAAAGGATATTAAAAGTCCTGAATTCACATTTTGATTTGAAAATTTTGGGTAAAACAAGAAAGCTTTTGGGTGTGGAATTTGAATATGAGAACAATAGTGTTTTGATTCATCAGCAATTATATATAGAAGACATAGTTGATCGTTTCAAGTCTTTTAAAATACAAATTACTTCCCTTCCAATAGTTAAAGGTGTGAAATACTCAAAGTCTCAAAGTCCCAGTACACAAGAAGAAACGACTGAACTGATGAATTATCCTTATAGAAATGTTTTGCGATGTCTCTCATTTCTTTGCAATCGTACTCGTCCGGATATAGCTTATGCTGTTAATATATTTTCTCAGTTCCAAAGCAATCCTGGTAAGTTTCACTGGGAAGGATTACTTAAACTTTCATGATACGTTTCCAATACCAGACAACACAAACTTAAACTGGTATGATTGGAAATGAAGCTCAATATATATTCAGATTCGGATTTTGCTTCAAGCAGGGATGATATGGTGTCTATTGGTGGACAAATAGCTTTGTTGGGAGAATCACCTGTATCTTGGCGTACATTTAAAGAAAGGGGTTGAGTTTGTCTACTATGGAGGCTGAATTTATCTCCATGACTGAATCAGCAAAAGAATTAGTTTGGTTTAAAAACATTTTGGATGAATGCATTTGGTTTAGAATTGCAAGTAACTATGTTTCATAACCAATATTGTTTGCAGATAACATGGCTGCTATATGTTTTACAAAATCAGCCATTGAAAACTCAAGGACAAAACATATAGATGTAAAACTATTTTTCATTCGTGATCTATTGAACAGGGAAATTTTTTATTTAAAATATGTTCCAAGTAAAGATAATCTGGCTGATCCCATGACAAAACCGCTGACAAAGCATAACCTGATGAGATTTTGTGGAACAATTTTCTTGTGAAACTTGTTTTTTGTGTGCTTAATTTTAAATTAAGAGTTTTGTTTAGTTGTATCATTGAAAATAATATGTTATAAGTCATATTATGATAAATATTCGGTAAATGTAAAACTGTATAGTGTAGAATGTTGTATGATTGACCAGGGCTCTGGGTAAAAGTATTGAGTGTATGATCATACATATGTCTTTGTATTGTTTTGTAACATGTTGGACTTTCTTGTTATGGTAAAATTTTGAATAATGGGATAAGAGGTTCCCAAAGGAAAATTTTCTTAAAATTTTTTGAATTGAACGAAATTGTGATATTTATTTATTCTTGTTTTGAATTTCGTAAAGATACTGGTGTTCAGTTTTATTTCAGGTCGGAGATGATGATGTGGGGGGCATTTGTTGGAAAATATGACTTATTGTAACCCTTTTACTGCATCATCTCTCCTCCTTGAAATGTTCTTATTTTAATGGGATATAATAGTTACTTCTACTTCTTTTTTTCACTGCCACTGTTTGTGTTGAGAACGGACTGTTTCAACCTAATTAAGATGCAAAAACGAAACATGATGTTACGTCATCTGGAAAGCCGAATCGTGCGGATAGCCGATTGGTTGCCGTGAGATGACGTCATGCCTATTTCTGGTATAAGTATCTCACGTCGCTCTGGCTCAGCCCTTCTACTTCCTTCTTTCCTAGCTCTTTCGTGTGCCGTTTCCACCCCCTTTTGGAGGATGCATGCGGTCCCATGAATAAGTTCCTTGGTTCCTGTCCACAAGATGACTATTCCTGAATAAGTTCCTTGGTTCCTGTATACAAGATGACCTTTCCAGAATAAGTTCCTTGGTTCCAGAGGCTACAATGTGAGTGATTGCCGTGGGCGGCATCCATGTTCTTCATGAAGGCGGCATTTAAAATAAGTTAGCGGTGATTCCTCGTGTTCAACTACTGTAAGCAGAATTAGGCCGGATTTAAGTGCTTTCAAGTACGTAATTTAAATTTCAGGCGCTTTCTTGACCATTGATCATGGACTTATTAAATGTGTAGCCAATTTCATTTGAGACCGCATAATTTCTGTTTAGGACATTTTGTTTGTATTGAATGCCAGTATTTTTGGAGACCAGGTAAAATATTATTGATGAATGAAAGTTTAAAAATGATGGTTATATTATATTTTTTCTAAGACTCTGATATTGTTTAAATTTATTCTTTGTGTTTTTATTTTTTTATATATTGTTAATAAATTGGTTAAGATTGAAACCTCTTTATTGTCTTCAATGTCTGCACAACATATAATCTCAGGGAGCTTTTATTGCTACTACTGCTAAATGTTTCATTTTATAAACTTTAAACTTTGCTTTAGCATCAGAAACATCACACGAGTACAATCCTACTCACTGTAGTCTTATTCTGCTGACGTTGCGCGAAAGCAATACTCACTTTTTCCACAAGTAAGAGCATTTTTTTTTTTTTAAATTTTCAATATAAATTTATGTTATAAATGCTTAATTTAAGATTTGTTATTACTTTCATGAGAAAAGAAACATTCCTTGTAGTTTTGGCGGTTAATGGGTTAAGCCACTTTTCAGTTTATCATCATCAATGAATGCGTTATAAAATCATTTCATACAAATGTAAATTATTCCTGCACTCAATTTTTTTCCAGTAAATTTTAGAAATTAAAACATGAAAATTTACTTATTGATGAAAAATCAATTACAGGTAAAACTGGATATTACGGTCCAGTTTGGCGCGTTTTCTAAAAATTGCCAACTCGCCAAATTGGTTGTTTTCGCGCGTTTTAGAAAATCGCCAACTCATCATATCGCCATATTAGATGGTTGCAAATTTGAATTAATTCTGTAAACATGCAAAAATATCTAAAACAGGACTTCAAGAAAAACAACGAAAAAGGGAAAAAAGCAAAATCACTCACTGCTTGGTGCATTTTTAAGAATTGCGCAAACTCGGTACCCATGTACACATTGACAGATTTTCACTTCAAAAAAACACCCCAGAATTGCACAAAAATGGCATTGCGGCCTTCCTTGACTTTATACATGTACACGTTGACCTATTTTCACTTTAAAAGGTCGGTGCTACTTTGGTAGACAATTGCACAGATTTTGGCATTTTTTTTTTTTTTTTTTTTTTTTTTTTGCGAGCGAGCGATACGACTTATGGTAAACCCATTGCTAGACAAGTTGTTTATGGTAACCGATACTTGCCAAGTTGCCATTTTATTTAAAAAATAATGTGTTTTATTATGCATAAATTCCAAGTTTTAAATATTATTTATGACTTCAAAGACAAAAATCCAATTCTTGTTACTCTCGTAAAATGTACCAAACAAATAAGCGGGTGATTCTGTACTTTACCTAAAGTATTTGAAAGTTAATAACTATGTATTTTATAGGATCAAAAATATTAAAAGTTTTCATATCGCATACCATTTTTAAGACAGCAGCAAAATGGAGTAAAGCATTTTATCACGAAATTTAAGAAATTGTAATAAGCAGTGAATGAGCAATAAATGATCAGAAAGCATCAATTCATATTTAAGCCAAGAAGTTACCAGATTTGGTGCGATTTCGCTTCACTTGGTGACTGGACCATAATCTCCAGTCTCGCCCAATTACATATCACATAGTTAAAACTATATTTTAACTTCGCATATTTTTATTTTGTAACTATAAACCATACTTAAGACTATATTTCACAGCCAAAAGTAACTAAAATACAGATAATACACAAAATATTTATATACTGCAATATAATTTATGGCAGCTTGGGATTAAATCTTTTAAAATATATACGAATACAAAAACAGCTCCAAGATTTAGTTTTATTTCTTTTCTAATTTTTATACTCAAAGGAAGATGTATAACAACTACAGGTTGGTATTATTTATTTTCAGTAAATTTTACATTCACTTGTATTATTTCTTCTATTGGCTGTTCAATGTTTACATTACTTAGGAAACCTCTGATTTATAATAATGCAAAATATATGCACAGATAGGAAAGCCTACAGTGTAAGAATGATGATTATTAATGAAATTAATAAATTCTTTGAAATAAAGAATGCAATAACAGTAATGCTTTTTAATATATTATGTTCTTCATTCAAGCCCTTCCCTTCAGAAATAAAATATATATAGAAATTTTGCCTTCTTGGTTTTCAAGAAAGAGGTTTAAAAAAAGTAAGGGAGGACATGCATGTAATTAAAATAATTATTACAAGCATTATTTAAACTCGGATTAAAATTACTTACCTAAAAGTGTTTTTCCCTTGAAAACAAGTCTTTGCTGATCAACTGGGATTCTTAGCTGTTGAGCAACTATTTGCTTCACGCTATTAATTGAAGCAGAGGCAGAAACCTGAAAAATTCGAGCGAACACTGCTAAAACATCAACAATGCCTTTACATTTTAAAATGAAATTAAACACATAATTCCTTCAAGGCATTTTTAATAAAATGAATTAATTATTCACAATACGATTTTAATTTCCTTCCCTTACGAGGTCACAATTCAAAACTGAATTATTACATTAACGGTTTTGCGTACTCATACACAATCATTTTATACCACTGATTCAACTAATTAATAGATCAACAGTTTATTAACAGGTTTAAAATACAAAAGTTACTATTTTCACTGCAACAACTCCTTAAAAAACCCAACTGTTTTCGTAGTTCAATGTCAGTACAAAAGTGCAATTTCTTTAATGTACAAATAATACATTAAACATCACACACAAAATTAAAACATGTAAAAAAAGATAACTTCCCTTTATAATTAATACTCACCTCGATGTCACACTCTCCTCCTTTTAGTATTTTGACTGATATCAACATTTTAAAACTACAGTAAAGCTTTTCACAATTTAGGCTTACAATCCAAGCATAAATTTTACCGAATAAAACACAGTCAGTGCTACTTATATTAACAGTTACACATTAAATGTTGTATAAAAGTGGTAAGTAAGAACTTCCGAAGTAAATGTCAATCTCAAGTGAATTTAGTTCTTATAAATAAATTGTAAAATTTTCTGGAAATCAGGTACAAAATAAAAGTTTAATGCTATTGCCACTTTTTAATGATAAATTATAGCAAAGAGAAAAGTAAAAATATTTATAAAGCTTTTTTTTTTTTTTTTTTTTTTTTTTTTTCGGTAATATTTGGATATTTACAAAAACGAATGAAACGAAAAAATAACTGTCCAAAAGATAAACCTGTGAAAGTTTTGACGCAACTGTTAGATGAGAGTTAACAGTATTTCAAAATATAAGATAACTATGGAAAAATAATATAAGGAATAACTGTGGAGAAAGTGCACTGCTGTTTATATAAGAAGGAGAAAAAGAAAAGAAATAGCAAAACTGCTCAGTTTTTTTGCCCTTTTACATTTTCTTTTTTTTTATTTCAGGGAACTTTTGAACTCATCTATCAGGTATATTCAACTACGTTACAATTCAAGATTTTTATGCTGGTCCCCTGACCGAATGCACCAGATGTATGACGAGTTCTTTAAGGGGACAGCAGACGCTGTTTTTACAAAAATCGACCAAAAATTGGGAAAAGAAAAATTTCATATGATAATATTCTACGGTTTTTAACTCTGGTCCTAATCTGGACATCGTCGAGATGGAAGAACGGGCTGTTTTCTGTGATCTACTCGACAAAGAGCGAGTTTCATGTCATCGTCTCGATCATTACAGAGTTCGACGCGTCGGAAAATTTTCCGTTAGCTGTGTAGTTCCCGTTTAACTTTCTGACTGTCGTTTTAGATCTATTGCAGATGTTGGAGGTGACATATACTTTTTTGGAAGTGCACTTCATGGATACTTTAATTTCTCAAGATTTGAGATAAACTCGACTGTTTCGCGGTATAAATAACAAATTTGATACTGACGATTCTACTTTTATCGGATTATTTCGGTTTACCAAACCTATAGCATGAACTCTTATCAGTAAATTAAGGCCATGCTTTACCGGAGCATCCACATCAAAGACAGCAATAAGGAATAATTCGCTTATTTTCATATTTGTATGACATAGGCTTCTGGCTTTAGATTTATCAGATAAGCGATTCTTTGATTTAATTTTTGAAAATAATCTATTTGGGGTTTTCCTATTTCACATAGGAGAAGTAGCACGTAGGAGTGCATATTTTTAATTTAAAAGTGTAATTTTTAAACTAATGTCTATATTAATTTACTTAATTTCATGATTTGATGAGCAATTTTTAAATTTTATATTTTAAATCTATATGTACTTCCCTCTACTTTTATTTTAATTTATTGTGTATAAAAATACATTAAAGAACATATAATATATAATCAAAATATGCACATCCTAAATTCAACATTCATATTAAATTGCTTTGAGTTAAAAAAAAAAAATATTCAAGTAGTTTGAATTGTACCGATATGAATGTCAATTTCCAGTAATTTTCAGAATCTCCTGCATAATTCAAGTTAAATTATTGTATTTCAAGTTAAATTAAATACTTGTAATTATATAAATTCATGATTTATAATTAGTTACCAGATTTTTTTATAAAGTCTGCTTTTAGATATTACATCAGTTTTGTGTATTTTTTATTCAGATTTAAAAAGGATACAAATAGGAATATGTACTGCAATTTCTTTCACTGCATAAGTTTATATTACCAACAAGTAGTTTTCAATAAAACAAAGATCAAATTAGGATTCAATTGAAAGTTTGGATCTTTTGGTGTCATCGGGGCTGTAGATGGTACCCAGGTATATACAATTGCATTTAATGACACGGTAGAATGCCAAATGTTCATTTTTATTGTAGGTTCATTAGGACTTTTGAAGCAAGGGACATGAAAAATGAGCAATCCCGGGACTCGAACCTGGACGTCCCCAATACGCATCGAATGTGTTACCGTTACACCACGAAAGCATGCATAAAGAAGGGAGAAAATACCTTATAACATAAATAGAAAATCCTTCCATTCGCATACGTGCAGTTGGTAAGTAATTTTTTCTTCCATTTTATATAATATATATATATATATATATGTGCTTGTGTGTGTGCGTATGTGTTTATATGCGAGATGATATGTTTTGTTATTTAACCTACACTTACATAATTTAAAAAAAAATTCTTTCTATTGCTTTTGTTAGAAATTTGTTATATTTTTACTCACTAGTAATCGTTCCTTAATGCATCATTTCAAACGTTTGCAGCTTATTGATATCTACAATACGTAGGTTACCTGCAGTTACGTGGTAGGTATAATTCATGAATAAATAAAATCACTAATATCATCCTCAGTTGCTAAAAATTATAAATTTTGTTATTCAAATTCAGTAGGAATATCAAACACGCGTACGCGATGCTATACTTCAATTATTTTACTTCTGACATTGTTACATAACCTTTTAAGTCAAAATATTTTTAACATAAAATTCCTGTTAACGAATAAATTACAAACATGTAACCTTTTAGAAAATTTACATTTTGCAAAAGATCTTATGTAAAATTATCCTTACTTTTCTTCACATATCTGCAGTTGTGGAAAGGTCGGTTCCCTTCTACGTTTAAAATATCTATTAACTCTTCCCATTTCTTTTTCTGTTCTCTTTACTAAATGTGCAGCTAAGGATATTTTTCGAAAAATGTCACCATTAACTAGAACTGGTTGCTAGTGAGGGTTTTTTTTTTTTTTTTTTTTTTTTTTTTTTTTTTTTTTTGGCTACTGTCATCTTCAGTGATAAGCACTTGCGAAGCAGCACTTTTGACAACAAACTACCCACTTCCCCTGATCCTCGATCAATGTAGATGGGAGACAGACTGATCGCTATGCAATAAACGGTTCTTCCACACGGAATTTCCGCTTCATTTTCCGCCGACGGAATTTGAAAGGATCAAACTCGCTCTCCTGTCTGTTGTCAAGTGGAAAGTGAATCCCGACTGGTTTTCCAACATCGATCTCGACCGGTGTCCAGACTAGACCCCTCTATCACCTACAAAAGGCGCTTGTGTGAAAAATTATTTTTAAAGAAGTTATAAGCATTTGAATACGCTTGTATCCTTTAAATGTCTGCGAAAAAGTAAATAAACATTTAAGAAACCTTATTTTAATTTTCGCAACTAATACTTTTTACTATTAGTAAGATATGAATGCCCAAGATATGAATATTACAATTTATGTAAGTTTGTTTCACTGTTCTTACACGGATGAATCTCACAGAAACAATAAATGTCCAATGGATTCATATCAGGTGTTTTTTTTTTTTTTTTCAACATAGCATTGCCAAAAATAATAAACCTAAATCTGATTGAGAGCTGCTGAAAAATAAATTAACAGTAGATGTTTTATCCAAAATACTAGCAAGGTGCTTATCTGGAAAAACGCAAATCACTAACGGGAGTTTACATAACATCATTTGAAAGAAATGCGCCAGAGAAACATTTTTATCTAAAAACGAGCCTCAGAATGGCTATTGATACAGCAATTAGTGACTTTAATTTTGAATGATTAAATATTTTAGGTATGAAACAGGAAGCTATGAATTCATGTTCTGTATATATTGGACAGAGGAAAGATAAACATCGTATATACCAAAGCAAAAAAAAAAAAAAGATGTTCCACTGAATAATAAAAAAAAAAATTTTAAAAAAACTGTGTAAAGTAACTAAACGAAAATGTAAATAAAGAAGGGAAAACGTATGGTCCAGGAAGGTTATAAAGTGATTCTTAGTTTTAAAAAAAATTAGTTCAATTTACAGGAAATGTTCGAGAAAATGTTAAAAATAATATTAAGTATTTCTTACCATTCTACGATTTTATTGGTAGAAAAAAAATATTTATACATAAGTGAAACAATATTAAAATATTTCATTTTAAATAAAATCATGTATTAGACATACTAAGAAGTAAGTATTACAGGTAAGTGTAAAAATATTCTTAAAATGTATTTTTCTCATAATGAAATTTTCGTTATTATAACATCTTCAAAATGCTCTATGCGCTTTAGTTTATGTTCAGATTCTTGCACACGAAAACATGCTCACTGTACGTAAACGCATACAACTTCACGGCCAGCTTTCATAATATCTTCTCCACCTTACAATCAGGCCCACCAGCGGCCGAGCGGTAAAGTCGCTGATCAGTGGTAGTTCGGTCTGAGGTTCGAATCCCGCGAACGGGGCTGGCTGCATGGGCGTTTTTGTGGTTTCCCCATGTGTCACGTGTATACGAGCCAGTTTACCTTAGAAAGTCCTCCACGAAGGCATTCCTCCCCTTAGGCAGATAGCCCCTCGAGGCTTTGCCATAATCACACACACACCACCTTACAATCGCTTGGCGCGCGCCAGTTCCCCTTTCGATTACGATAACTCCTCTAGTCTCTATACACCACAGAGGGGAAATCAATAGGAACAAAAATTACATTTCTCTGGACAGCTAATCATTTTTGACTGTGTATATGTTGACTGTACAAACGCTTTTCTAACAGTAGATTCAATATCGGTATTTTATGATTTAAAAATTTTGTCCCTTTTGCACCGTATGTCGGAAATGGCCTCAAACAAAAAGAATAAACACATTTCTTTCTATTAACATTGCAACAATTGTTCAGTTTTAAAAAAAAGAGACATTTGACACCGGCTGTCATTTTTTCATTAACGTCTGTGATTTTGTGCTGATATGAAGTACTTGTGTTTTTATGTTCGTCGTAAGAATTATGAAAAATAAAAGTATTTTCTACAAAAATTAGTCTTGAAGTACTGCTTAATGATTTTTGTTAATAATGCCTTACTTATTTTGTTAGTATAATTTAGCTACTTGTGTATGGCAACAGTAGGAGATATTCAAGTTTGAGAACGATGTAACGAAGCGAGGAGCGTCATTGTTTCTTTCGTGATAATAAAGTTTGTTTTCGTTGAAACTGATTCTATTGTGTAAATAATCACCGCAGTTATAGTGTTTTAATGATAGAGACTATCTTTAAATCTATGATGCGAGTCTTTAATTAAAGGCTATTTCGTGCTGAAGTGTGATTTATTATTTTAAGTACTGAAAGCAGAAAAAGTCGGTGATACTTTTTTCTTGTAAGCTTTAACATTTCTGGCGTCCAGTTACAGGACTATTTACGCATTTAAAGATGTTTCAAGTGATAAAAGGTTTTAAAAAAGAAGATTTGAAACAAGTTGTGGAAGAAATCGGTGAATGTTTACCAACAACCGTTACAATAGCAGGTTTAAAAGAAATTATTTTAAACAGTGCAGAATTTAAAAAGAATCCTGATTTGTTCAAAATTTACATGCAATTGCTATTTCGGATCGAAAATTGTTAGAGGAAAGACAAATTCGAAAGGATAAGCTGGATTATGAGCTTCCAAAATTGAGAATAGAGCAAGAACTTCGAAAAACAAAAATGGATTATGACCTGGAGTTGGCAAGAATCCAAGCACAGAATCAAAGTGAGTCATTTCCGTCTATTTCTGTTTCTGATGTAAATAGTTCGAAAAGAAAGTTTACTTTGCCTAGATTAGAATTTAGACAATTTGGAGATGATATTAAAAAGTGGCTTCCTTTATGGAGTCAATTTGAACAAATTCATAAAGATAATGATATTGCCCCTGAGGATAAATTCCAGTATTTAATTCAAGCTACTGGTTCCCGCGCTAGAGAAGTTGTCGAGAGTTTTCCGCCTATCGATGCTAATTATGAAAAGGCGGTGGAAAGCTTAAAATCCCGTGTTGGTAAGGAAGATATTTTAGTCGAAGTATACGTAAGAGAATTATTGAAATTAATCGTAACTGTTCAAACTAAGGATAAGTTTTCATTAACTTCTTTGCACGATAAACTTGAATCTTATTTACGTGCTTTGGAAACATTAGATGTGACAACTGATAAATGTGCTTCTATATTATATCCAATGGTTGAGTTCTGCTTTCCAACAGATTTTTTAAAAGCGTGGAATCGTAGTAATTCTTCCGATTCTAAAACGAAGCGAATGATCGATTAAACAATTTAATGCAGTTTTTGAGATCTGAGGTAGAGAGAGAGGAAAGAATATGCTTAGCTGTAGCTGGTTTCGGTTTGGGGAAGCATCAAGATAATAATAATAATAAGCAAGTAAAAAAGAAACATTCTAGTGCAGAATATTTACTTAACAAGACACCTACAGCTGCAGCGCTATTAACAGCTGTTTCTGTTTCCAAGGCTACGAAATCGTGCGTTTTTTGTGATGCTAAACATTTGAGTTCTGACTGTTTTTTCTCGCAAAAAATGAGTTTATTGGAGAAGCAAAACATTTTAAAAGATAAGCTTTGCTGCTATGCTTGTTTATCACTTGGCCACACAGTCAAGAAATGTCGAGTTTTCTTAAAGTGCTTGATTTGCTCTAAAAAACATGTGCGTCTTATGTGTCATGTGCTTAATACACAAATCAAAGCTGTACAGCAGAAAAACGAAGAAAAACCGATAGAGGGGGAAATTGTCTAATTTCAAAAGACATACCTCCAGAGTTTTTCTTCAAACTTTGAAAGCGAACCTTATTTCTGTTGGTACACACAAGACTGTAAGATTACTTTTAGATTCAGCTTCGCATAAATCATACATTTTAAAGACTGTAGCCGAAGAAATGCAATTTTTGCCGGTTCGTCAGGAACGTATGATATATTCTCTTTTCGGGGATGGTGTTTTGACAAATAAGTTGAAGCATAATTGCTATAAAATAAAATTGAGAAGTTTGAATGAAAAGTTTACGTGCAATTTCGAAGTCCTAGATCAAGCTACAATTTACGACAATGTTCGGCCTGTGTGTAAAGGCCCTTGGATTAAAGAGCTAGAAGAAAATGGCATAATTTTAACAGATGTCGCGGTTCATTGCGAAACCATTCATATTCTCGTCGGAGCCGACATAATGGGAAGGTTGTTAACCGGAAATAGGAAAATTTTGTCTTCGGGTCTCGTTGCTGTAAAAACTAGTTTAGGATGGACATTAATGGGTAAGGTGCCAGTAGAAGAAGCTCCTAATGAAAACTTAGCAATGGCGGTGACATCAATGTTTATAAATGAAGCTGAAGTTTCAAGTCTATGGAGATTGAATTTAATAGGGATTAATGATCCTGTAGAAAAGAAATCTAAACATAAGATTGATCTTCAGACCAAAGAACATTTTTTAAAAACAGTTACAGTAAATAATGATGGTCGGTATGAAATTTGCTTACCTTGGGCTGATGATAAATCATTTTTACCTGATAATTTTAGTTTAGCTAAAAAGAGGCTCGAGTACACTACTTCGAAACTTTTAGCTATGAATTTGTATCAACAATATGAAAATGTATTTTTAAGTTTGATTGCTGAAGGCATCATAGAAATTGTGCCCACTTCTGAAGTGAACTCTTATGGTAATTACTTACCTCATCGCCCTGTCCTAAAGGCAAGCAGCAGTACCACACCTATTCGTCCAGTGTTTGATGCTTCAGCGAGGTTCATAAACCATCCTTCTCTAAACCAATGCTTGCAGTGCGGTCCTAATTTAATCGAACTTATTCCAGACGTCCTACTGCGATTCAGAGAGCGGCGATAGGGAATCATAGCGGACATTAGAAAAGCCTTTCTACAGATAAGTATTCGAAAAGAGGATAGAGACTACCTGCGATTTTCATGGTGGGAAAACATGGAAGAGGGAAAGCTCAAACTTTTTCTACATGCCAGACTTGTTTTCGGTGCAAAATGTAGTCCTTTCCTTCTGGCCTCAGTTATTGAGCACCACATTGAAAACAGTGAAGAACTTGAAGTTGCTTTTAAAAGGAGACTCTTGCAAAGTTTCTATGTTGACAATGTCGTTACTAGTGTTGACACTAAACAACAGTTGGAAAAGTTTGTTACCGATTCTAAGATATTGATTTTCAAAGGCGGTTTTGACCTAAGAGGATGGGAATTTTCTGGTGAGTTCGACGGAATCAACGATAAGAAAGAAACACAGGTATTAGGTCTTCTTTGGAATAAAAAACTGGACACTCTGAAAATCAATATGGGATGGTTGAATGACTTTAATTTGGAAAAGATAACAAAACGAAGCATGTTATCTGCCGTTCATAAGGTATTCGATCCTTTTGGTTTTTTCTCCCCCGTTATGCTCTGTCCAAAAATAATGGAAGAAAAGTGTCAGTTGGGACGAGGAGTTGACCGGCGAACTTCGTAAAGATTTCTTACAATGGCTTGAAGAATTAAAATGCTCAAGTGAGATTGAAATTCCCAGGTTTATTCAAGTCACTTCAGAAAATTTAAGTAAATGTGCTCTTCACACTTTTGTTAATGGCAGCAAAGACGCTTATGCAGTGGTTACATTTCTAAGGAATTGAGAACAACGATCTAGTTGAACTGTTTCTTCCTTGCTGCAAAATCTCGAGTTGCTGCTTTAATAGGGGAAACTATCCCAAGAATGGAGCTTTCGGCAGCCGTAATTGGTACCAGATTGACAGATTCAAGTAACCTAAAGCCCTCGGATGGGAAAGAAATAACAAACATTACTGGAAGTGATTCCACAACAGTGCTCTCATGAATTAAAAGAGATGAAAACTGGTCTGTTTTCTTGCAAAACCGTGTTAAGGAGATCAGAGAACTCAGTAAACCCTTCAGCTTGGAAGCAGGTTCCTGGAGAAAGAAATTCCTGCTGATCTGCCATCCAGAGGTTGCAAGGCGAAATATCTAATTACATGAAGATGGTGGGAGGGACCACTCTGAATGAAAGATCCTCCAGAATTCCTTAATTACAAGGATTTCCTCTAACCACCATAGCTGGAAGGAAGAAGAGATTGAAAGGGAGAAGTTGAAAACTACTAGCACGATGACAAATAATGAAACCGTTTGTGATAATAATTGGTATTACAGGCATTTTTCTAATTATGAGAGAATAGTACATATGGTCACCTGGATTCTTTGTTTTAAGCATAATTGTACAAATATCGAAAGCAAGAGATACAGAGAATTGAATACAACAGAATTTTGTAAAACAGAGTTAAAGGTATTACGTATGATTCAAAAGGAATCCCTTGATTTGGAACATGATAGACTCAAAACACTTCAGGTATTTAAAGATGATCGTGGCATTTATCGTGTGAAAACTAAGATTATTTACAGGAAGGATAGTGAAGATTTCCTGAAACCGGTCGTCTTTCTTCAAACCACGAAGTTGTGAAACGACTTGATTTCTTTGTTCATGTGAAGAATTGTCACGCAGGTGGTCAGATACTTTTGAATCTGCTTAGAGAAAAATAATGGATTCTTAACAGAAGAAAGACTGTAAAAAACATTGTGGCTAATTCCACAATCTGTAAAAGATATAAGTTCAAGGAACATGGAAACGATATGCGCACTCCTTCCTGAAAATCGTGTTAAAGATGCTGCGGTATTTCAAATTACAGGTGTTGACATGGCTGGTCCTCTGTTTCTAAAAGAATGTAGAAAGAGTTGGGTGTTAATATTCACTTGCGCAGTGTACAGAGCAGTACATTTTGAGCTAATTACTGCAGCTTCCACGGACGCCTTTTTAATGGCATTTAGAAGATTTATAGCTCGCAGAGGAAGATGTACTGTTGTATATTGTGACAATGGATCTAATTTTGTTGGAGCAGCCAATTCATTAAATCAACTGGATTGGAACCGTATACAGAAACATGGAGTCGTCAATTCGATTGATTGGAAGTTTAATCCACCGACTGCCGCATGGTGGGGCGGTTGGTGGAAGCGACTAATAAGAATATTGAAAGATCTCTTAAAAAGAGTATTAGGTAAGGCACATCTCAATTATGAAGAAATGGCAACTGCTCTGGCAGACTGTGAGAGCGTAATCAACTCAATACCTCTGACTTATATCTCTGAAGTAGATGTGATAAAGCCCATTTCTCCATGGATGTTTTTGCAAGACATTCATGAATGCAGTGTTCCAGATATTGATGCTCTGGAACAAAATTCTTTGTCCAAGAGATTCAAATACAGACAAATCATACTTCAAGAATTGAGGAACCGATTTCGGTCGGAATACTTAAGTGCTCTCACTCAACGAGGGAACAATAAAAAACTACGACACCCAGTGGCTGTGGGTGATATTGTTCTAGTGGGAGCTGATAACAAAAAGAGAATTAACTGGCCTTTAGATCGTATTAGTGAGCTTCTTCCAGGTAAAAACGGTAATGTGCGGCTTGTGAAAGTGCAGACTTTACACTAAGAACGTCTTCGTCCTATTCAGAGAATATATCCTCTCTAGATAGCATCTCCTACTGACTGTCCTAAGCCTGTAGAATCCAATAGTTTGACAACAAGCCAAAATTTAGTAGGACCGGTAGAAAAATTAAGATTCCAGAAAAACTGGACTTATAATTTAAATAAGTGCTTTAGTGAAATACATTTTTATTGGTTGTTATTATTATTTCTTATACTTGAGTGTACTTCTGTGTTTTATTTATTTAGTATATTTAATGATAATTTTATGTTTTGATTATGGTTTATAATCCAAAGGTGGGAGGATTTTAATAATGCCTTACTTATTTTGTTAGTATAATTTAGCTACTGTTGGTATGACAACAGTAGGAGATATTCAAGTTTGAGAACGATGTAACGAAGCGAGGAGCGTCATCATTGTTCTTTCGTGATAATAAAGTTTGTTTCGTTGAAACTGATTCTATTGTGTAAATAATCACCGCAGTTATAGTGTTTTAATGATAGAGACTATCTTTAAATGTATGATGCGAGTCTTTAAATAAAGGCTACTTCGTGCTGAAGTGTGATTTATTATTTTAAGTACTGAAAGCAGAAAAAGTCGGTGATACTTTTTTCTTCTAAGCTTTAACAATTTTCTACCTATTAAGCTCATCTCGGAGATTGAAACTTTGGATGAAAAAGTGAAACCTTCAGTGGCGTAGCTAGGGGGGCAAGGGGGGACATCTGTCCCCGGGCACAGCATTTAGGGGGCGCCAAATGGATGTTATGAAATTTTAGAATAAATTATTTTTCTTTTTAAATGCAATAAAAAAATAAATTTTAAAAATTCGCATACTTAGTCTATCGCCCCATTATAATAAGGATATCTTTTTCCTACATTTTTTGTCGTATGTGATTAGCAAAGATTGAATAGAAAAGCTAGGTTTTCGATTTAAAGTAAGGTCAATGAAAGTCATCCTTCCCCCACAAGTCCCTTTCCTTCCCATCCCTAAGCAAACAGCGAGAAAATACTTCGAAGGTTATGTGATACTTTTAAGTCGTAAAGCTTTGTCCTTTTACAGCTTTGAATAACCCTCCTCCGCATCCGGTCCATTTTACCTGTAGCAATCAAGTTTAGCGTCGCGATTCTTTGAAAGTGGAGACACTAAAATAGCAAAAGCCCTTTCATTTTGAACCAAAGTATTTAAAATCACAATGATTAAGAGAATTAAGTATTCCAAAAAAGAAAAAAAAAAAGTAAGTTAGGGTATTTAATTTTACATTTATTAATTATTACACAAATATTGCACAAGAGAGGGGAGGAAGCTAAGTCAGTTAAACGTATCAAAAATATTAATTTATTTTATTTTATTTTATTATATTTTTTTTTATATATAATATAGGAAGAAAGCCAACTTCACTGCGTTAAGTACAATGGATTTTACGCCATTAGTCTAGTAATTTAAATCCTCTGTTTAAAATTACTTAAGAGAGCAGGTGTTAAACATGCAGGTGGTTTATATAGTTCATTAGTGGGTAGAATGTATAAGTCTGGTCAACGGTGCTAGTTCGATATTGTTTATAATCTCAGCGAACGGGCTGACTGCATAAATACTCTTATAATTTTCCCTTATATGAAATTCAAATACAAGCGAAAGAAAGTCTTCCATAAAGCCATCCCTTCCCATAGATGGATAAACCTCCACTTGCTTTGCCGTACTCAGTTCAATAATAGCAAGCATATATAAAATGCTAATTATAGCGACATAAAGTAAGATTACATACATCATCAACAGCAAGCCAAAACTGCATATTAACGAAATCAGTTTTATGCAGAAAAAAAAGAATTTTTCTCGTAAATGCAGGAGAGAATAATAACTTCCTCTCATAAATTTTTTGTATGGGCTTGATTTTGCAAAAATCAATGTTCTACACCAGGCATTCCCAAATCTGTTCTTAGATCAATCCCTGTTAAAGGTTTCTTCATCTATCCACTTACATTTTTCTTTATAATATACAGTCTGCAACATAAAACAATAATAATATGTGACAAAGATAATAATTAGAACTAAGAACATAAACAAAAATTTTGAAAAAAATGCACATATATGATTCAAAGATAATATTCAGACTAAGAACATACACAAAATTTTGAAAAAAAAATGGTTTACTAGATTTATGTTTTATTATGTTTTGTATAATTATTTTTATTGAGTTTACAAATATAAAAAGTTTTCAGGAAAAAAATTACAGATTTTAATTTCCTAAAAGTTCGATTTTAATCACTGCGCTTCATATATTGATGCAAATTTTTAAATATTTAGCATAAAATTGCTTATGCCGTATTTATTCCTTGTTTCCCGTAATAAGTTGACTAAAGCTTTCTTCAGTTAAGTAAGAAGATGGGAAAATCAATGGTGTTGGGCTAGATAAAAGCTTTTATTTTGTGATATACTTCTTTTCGAATGACTTTTTATTCCAAGACTTAAAGTTATTATAATTATACTCCAAAATTCAACTTATACGCATGTATTGTGAATAAGTCTTGTCTTCCTGTGATATAGCATTATATGAATAACTAATTAAATATCACTTTTATATCAAATAATGATCAAAGGTGTTCTATTATTCTAATGAAAGTTTCGTAATTAATGGGATCTTTATTGTGCCGATTAACTGCCCATGCAAATTCGGCTATCGACTCTCATTGTATTCCTTGATCATTATTTACCTCCATTAAAATATTATCGACAACTAGGGGGTCAATACCGATCCCGCTGGAAACCTCTCTTCTACTCTATAATTCTAATACGTTTATCAAAAACAATGCATTATACTTTTAATCATAATGAAACACAAAAAAATACAATATTAATATTAAAGGGTATCACTGATGTCCTCGGACGGGAATGCGAACATTTTCTTTGTTTTTTTCTGGATTCATCAAATAATAATAGTTTAGATTTAAGTTCTAAAATTTTAATATGAAAGTTATTCATTTTTCGATTCTGGACGTATTTATTATTAAAATTTTTTCCCCAGTTATAAAGCTTCTTTTCTTTTTTCATAGAAAGTAAACATTTAAATGTAGCAAGAAACTCTTTTTCTATTTAAGAACAAAGGCGTGTGAACGAATAGAAGGAACGCAATTGCGAGAATGACCACAGGAGGCGCAATCAGCCTTAGGAATAAAGGGAGCAGGAGGGGTGCAGCGAACTTGACCCGAGAATGAGAAAGTGAACAGTAAGGATCTAACATCTTCGAAAGATACTTTGAAAGTTTTCATAAAAATTTAGTTGTGTGTTACAAAAATAATGTTTTAATTTGTAACGAGTTACTATAAAAATTTAATATGGGACGTCCTGAATAAAAGTAATTAGAAAAAAAAAAAAAAAAAAAAAAAAAAAAAAAACCACCTTTTATGAGTGTCTCTAAGAAATTCTACATTTTCTAAATGAATTCTACTCAGTGCACTTCTGTTTTGGAATAGGTAAGCAATTCCCCCTTTTTTGAAAGTTATGGATATTATATAATTTATAATGAGAAACTTTTTATGTCATTAAAAATTCATTGCAGTTGTGTATTTAAATGTATTTACCTAAGCTGAAAATTTCTATTAATGGTAATTTGTTCAATTATTAATTATCTGATTAAAATTGTACTTGAAACTTTTTATTTCTTTTGCAAGTAATCTCAATTTTATTAAATGCTATTCAGTGATGCTATTACACAGAGAGTTATTGATTCCTCGTTGTGCAGTTAGACAAATCATTGTCTTAACAAAATTATTCCTTTAATGTATGATATTAATAAGAGGATAGTTATTTTATGTAAAAAATTTTCTTCGAAGAGTAGCTGATCACAAATGATTGATTGAATTAAGATTTGCTAATAATACCTGAACTTTACTGATTTTATAGAGCTGTAGAGGGATAATATCTTATACTTATCTATATGCCGAAACATTTTCATTGTTCCCATATACAGGAATTGAAGTGCTTAAAACTCTTATGCTGTATTAAAAGTTCTAAGAAATGTGAGAACCACTGAGTTAGTGATGTGGGAAAAAGAATAAAGCCACCTTTCTACTTCTTTAACAGTGAAGAATTAACTGTAAACAAGTTATAATCTTTGCTGCTTCTATCAATTAAAAAGAATTAATGTAATTTGACTTTTCACTTAAGAAAGGCCCACAAGCGGCCGAGCGGTAAAGACGCTGAACACTGGTAGTTCGGTCCGAGGCTCGAATCCCGCGAACGGGCTGGCTGCGTGGGTGTTTTCGTGGTTTTCCCCATTTGTAACGTGTAAACGAGCCAGTTTCCCGTAGAAAGTCCTCTACGAAGGCATCCCTGCCCTTAGGTAGATAGCCCTCGAGGCTTTGCCGTAATTAAATAACCAAACTTAACCTAACCAGGTGAAGGATTACATTATTCAAAATATAATAGCTCTACGTACCATCGTTTTTTTACAATATATGCAGATTCTTCATTATTTAATTTCTTTAAAAATAATACAGAGCGATAATATATTTAGCGGCAGCAATCTAAAAAGTTAATCAGACATTTAAGTGTTTCCGACGCAAAATCCCGAAACGAGACTAATAGCGCTTATGTGTTTTTTACCTGTAAAAATTTAGCACAAAACACGCAATTAATTTAACACAAATACAAAATACACGAATTAACACAAAAATTATAAAAATATATCAATTGAGCAGCACTATGCATCTTCGTTCATTGGTGAACTTTGTAGGGTTTATATTTATTTTTAACTAACATTTATTTTAGTTTAAACTATCTTCCGTCAAGCCTTACTTTCCCTGGAACTGCCAATGCAAGAGTATGTAAATTTTAGTAGAACGCGCAGGATTCAAATTATCAGCGGAAGTATTCTGATTTAATAGAAAGGAAACGAGTTCGAGGTGTGATATTCTTACTTCACGAGCGCGGAGGTAGTTGGCCAGAAATTGAAGAACCGGCGTTTCGGCCTGTGCTTGCTGAAGTAGTGTTAATCGTTCAAGTGATCTTC